GAAATGTGCCCATTTAAGAGCCAGTTCATTTAATTTTTATTTAAATTTTGATTGTAGTCCTTTCCTGTATGACTATCTTTACACATTTTAGTGATGATCTAAGAATAAATCACATCTCATTAGGATTGGTAGAAACATCTGTCTGGTGCTTTGTGGTTCTTATTTGTTTTTTGCTCCTTTTCTTTTTCACACATCAAGGTGAGATTCGATCACATGGTACCTACAAATTTCTTGATCTTTGCGTGAACCTCATGCTTTTTTTCCCCCTGTTTTCATTTCTTACTATTTTTTTCCTTCATACTCTGTTTCTGAGGTCTGCAGAATTTGTGTCCTATCACGCAAATGATGCATGCAAAACCTTCCCAAATTAAAGATGTGTTTCAGAAGAGCTGTGGCTAAGAAGAGATTTTGGTGCACTTAATGCAGTGTTCCTGCATACTGTCGTCATTCCCTGATCGAAGTTTGTCCATTGTTAGAGAGCTTTGAGAACAGATTAGAAACTAAGCTCCCCAAGCTGTCTGTTGCAGTTCTTCACTGCTTTTGTTATTAGAAAGATTTTGGTAGCATTAGTTTTGTTGATCCTTTAAAAGGGAAAGAAATAGCAGATCAGCTTGTCAACATTTATATAACTTATTTTGCCCAGTTAACTTTATCTAAAATGGTGATTTCTAAGATATGCAAGTTCTTAAAGATGTATAAGTTGTAATATCTTTGCAAATAAATATACCTTTAAAAGTCTGCTCAAATTCATTCTTTGGTGGAATAGTGCAAGGCAACAGCAAGCATGAGAAAAATGAGATGAAAATGCATATGGAAACTGGTATGTCATATTTTTCTAAAGATGAGTAGTCTCTAAAACCAGGCAGAATAAGTTGCATTTTTTTGTGTAAGACTCATTTACTCTTCCCACACTTCACTTCCTCTAACCTTTGCCCCTATACCCATATCTGCGCCTTAAAACATCCATTTCCATGCTGCCTTTGTTGCTCTTGAGGTCGGGGTAGATGCTTTTACATAGGGTCATGAAGCCTGTGGTGAGTCATTCCCTTAAGCATATATTCAGTCTCCTCAGTATATTCTCACATGCAAAATATGCAACCGTCATTCTGTAAAATGATCAGTTGTTTTCTTGGATATGTGCATGAGAAATTCCAGTCTGACTTCCTCTGACAGTGGCTGCAGCTTCCAGTCAAGAAGTGAACTATGATACAATAGCTTTCCTGACAATTTATATTATTCTTGGGGCCTTGAGAGATAGCAGAAGTGGTGAAATTAATTTTAAAACAACTTATCAGCCTTAGCTGTAGTTGTATTCGCTATTGAATTATCTTCAAATATGTAACTTAGTGCTTCACTGCTTGGTCAGAATCTGGGTTCCCTGACATCCAGTTATTTTCTCTAGCTTTTTAAAATCATCACAGCAGTCTGTAACCATTATCTGATGCTGTTTCTTATTTTGCTTGTGTGATACTGGTGTTAGAGCTGGGCCAATGCCACAAAAAGATTTATATTCTGTTCATTTACCTTTTAAATAAACTGTATAGCTCATGACACTTATGCTTGCGTGGCAAAAACGCTGAAGTGATTGAGTTTGACATAAATACTCAGTGGAAACTGAACTTTAATTCTTTGGATAAAAGTGACTGTTTACTTGGTGAATGAGGAGGCTGCAGTACCTGGTAACTTTGATCATTTATAATCTCTGATTTCAGAGAAATGTCTGTACTCAAGGCATAGTTTGTTTCCATTATGGAGTTGTTGGTTTTGTTATTTTGGGGCTAGGTCTTTTGCTCCTTAACGTAAAAGTAGCTATTGGAAGACTTAGATGTCCTATGAAATATGATGGCCTTATGTTCTTTTAAATTTCCAAATAATAAAGCATGAAGTGGTAAATAGATTACTTACTGGGGATGCTCCAAAGAGGCCCTCGAAGGACAAACTGCACAAACCTGTGTTGTTCCTGGTAGGGTCACACTAAGCTTCCCTTGCATAGAGTCATGAATTGAAAGAATTTTCAGGAATTACTTCAATCTATTTCAATACTTGTGTTTTTTTTTTCTGAATGTATTAGATGTTCTTGACTTGTGACATAATGCTTAAATTAATTTTGCAGAGATGGGTATGTTGTACCTAGAGTGGTAACTGGTGCTAATTAGGAAAGCTAGTTCAGAAAAATATGGAATATCCCAGTCTTCAGACACTTAATTCTCGCCATCAAGAATTGGGTGGCAAAGACTTCTTTCCTGTTACCTGTGTAGCAATTTAGCTAATGATTTTAGAGGTGGGTAGCAGGACTAATTGTATGGTCATATCAAATTGGGGGTTTATTTTCTCAAGTAATCTGAAAAGTCTTGTGTGATGCGTGATTTATTTAATATATTTGAAGGGAAGAGGTGAGTGCGTAGATGATTTTACCTTTAACTTTGGAAAGCTGCATATACAGTTTGTTCTTTAAACAGGGGCATAAGCTCAAGAAAACAGGATTTTGTACCTATGAGATCTCATCTATGACATAGCATAATGTATTCTTACAAATAGGGGCTGAATACAGAACTGAACAGTTAAGGGTTTGGTTTTTTTATACATTTCTGCAGCTGTTTGGCAGCTATTACTAAGGCTTGACTATTAATAGCTTTGTCAGTGTTTCCCACAAAGATCCAAATAAACTAAACATAAAACTAAGCTTTACATCTTTTCCTGAAGTTACTTGGAAATATAACTTGGGTTTTTTTATTGTTTCTGAAAGTCTTTAGCTTGGGCTCTTGTATTCTATTATTTTGGGTTTTGATTATTTTTTTGTGCTGTCAAGAAGTAAAAATAAGAGCAGCTGGCTCTTCTCCTGTATATTCTTTAGTCTGACAGAAAAATTATTTAGTCTGACCTTCATCTCATTAGGTGGCTTGCAATTTTCCTGAAGAGACAAAGACTTTGTTTAATGAGTTATCAGTAGGAAAAGTCCAATCTGATTTTGCAATCAAGGATGCTGGATGATACACTTCAGCTCCAGTTTGATGGGAGACAATGCTGCTGTCAAGAGTTAATCTGAACTTCTGAGAAATCCCAAAGCACTATGGTGTTAATTTGGAGTGTACTTTAGTTTTCTTTGATATTCTGACTAGATTTAACATGGACAGATAGAAGACGTGATATATTCCTATGGTTTTTCTCTCGGTAAATCATCTGAGTCTTAAGTTATGGAGGTCATGAAATGTTTCAGTTCTGATGCTTAAGCAGGGAATACTGTGCAGCTTCTGTGACTTAGCAGAAGATTTTATCTGCTCCTCTCTAAATGGTAAGTTTTGGAGCTATTAGTTCTGGAGAAGAAGTATGAGCGGCATCAGGCCCAGGAAGTAGGGGAGGAAAATCTCCCACTCCGCAGAAATGTTTCTAAAACTAGCGCTGGCGATGAGGTAATCGGAACTCAGGCAGTGATTTATTTGATTTACAGGCCTTTTCAGACACTGACTTCATGTTTAAATATACTTGACTTTATTATATATTTATAACTTTGCCTTTTAATTAGATGACTAAATATTAATCCCCATCATTTATTTCTTTAGGTTTTTGTTTCGCCACGTTTCTGAAATGAACACGCAGCTTCGCAGTGGGGTTGAAACTTAGGTGCAGCGGCTTGGGAGCAAGGCCGTGGGATGTTGTTAAGCTCAGAAAGTGCAGCTGAAATAACTTGAGAACTTGGATTCCCACCAGTTCTCAGCTTTTGGTAACAGTTTTGTTTTCTTGTTTGCTGGAATAGATTAGAAACCTTGGTAAAATATCTGATATTGAACAATGTTAGGACCTGACTTAGTATCAGCTGAAAAAAATAGTAATTAAACCATATGGGTTAAATAAAACAAACATTAAAGAATAATGAAGCGTGTGTTCTCCCAGCTTCCTGTGTTTGTGTTCTGTTTGTGTTGTTAAGGTTGATGTCCGGCTGCCTCCCCAAATTTGAAAGCCAACTTAGACTCTGCTGCAGCTGCCTGGGTCCAGATGTGAACAGGCAAATGAGGAACCTGGTGAGAAGGACACAGTGGGCCTGAGGGACAGAAATACTTGGTAATGGTATGTTCAGGCACAGAGAGCGTGTGTGGGAGTGCTGAGTGCCACCAGTTCAGCATGGTGAGGTTGTGAAGAGGCCCTTGTCTCCTGTGAAGGCTGCTGGAGAAGCCTGCGTAACAGAGAAAGCTGCTTTATTTTTTCTAAGTTAAGCACAAAGCTTTGCAAATACTTTTCAAAATATATGAGAGATTTTGGTCTAACTGTCTTAGACATTCTTAAAAAGATGTTAGAGAGGTTGTGTAACAAAACAGAACGTGATTACTCTTAAATTGTTTTGGACGCTGATCAAGTATGCTCTACGGTTACTAATTGTGCTTAACCAGCTTTCGGGTCATCAGAGAAGAGTTCATTGAAATATCATTTGAATTTCCAGATTTTTCTTAAAGTGCAACCTTGATTTAGCTGAATTTTCTACGTGTGGAAAAGTTCTGTTTTTTCTCCCTTCATTAATAATTAAAATTCTAATTATTCCATGAGTGGATGTCATCACTTTCCCTGAAAGTATTGTGCACTATGGGAGCCTTCAGTCAGCATCCTCCCTTTCTCTGTAGGAGCTGTTAGTGCTTGGAAAAAAGCATGATGTGAGAGCTTCCAGTTCATAGATCAGCAGAGCTTGCAAGGGACATCGGAGGTCATCTCAGTCCAGCCTTTCATTCAGACATCTCCTGGTGGGTCGCGTGCTCCAGGCCTCTGTCCAGCGTTATAACTCTTTGCCAAACATTCTCCTATTTTTGTCACATCTCTCTTGTACAGGGATCCCCAAACTAGACTCAGTTTATAATATTAAAGCGGAATTCAATTTCCTTCCCTCCTAGTTGAGTCTTCATTTACATGAATAAGGATGTTTCTCTAGGTCAAAGTTTGTGCTACCTAGAAACGGTCTGCTTAGTCTGAATTATTTTCTAGATAAGGGATCAGACTGATGGGATTCTTAAGGACTATCTAAAGATCTGAACAGTTGGAAAAGCAGAAGAGAAAGGTGGATGTCATCTGAAAAAAATGAAAGAGAGAAGGTAACTACTCTCCTGTCTTGCATTTTCCTTCTTCATGTACAAGAAAGATTTCTTGTTTGGAAGCTTAAATTTACTCTCTGCCTCTGGTGGGAATTAGATTGACTCAATGCCTGTGTGAGTTAGACCTCCAATTTATGTGCTCGTGTGAGCTTTACCTGGATGTTTGCTTAGCTGAGCAAATTGGAGACTTATCAGAGTGATTCTTTTATCATCTAGTGAGGCCTCTAACATCTGTAATAACTTGTGAAGATGCAGAAATGATATGTTACCAAAGGGAGTGAATACTCCTGTGCTTTCAAAGTGAGTCATAAACTGGGTAGAGCAGAACTCACAGTCTCAGAACAGGGTGTCAGATTTGGTAAAGCTGAAAGAAGTAGCATTCTTAGCAGTTAAATGCTCTGCTTTTCCTTGAGCCTTACCACTTTGGTACCCAAACCAGTACATTCTGCTCTTCTAGTGTGCTCCGTTTATTAAAAAATAAAAAGGTGTTTGTTGTGATAGGGATGTAAGCAGGAGATATAAGACATAAGAAAGTGTCATTAGTTCTGTTCATAGAAAAAAAATCTCTTTGAAATTATGAAGGGGGAAATGATACCTTTTAAGTAAGAAAGGGGATGAATTAATTCCATTATTCTTGGTTTTCTTACCTCACACATCAAATATTCATGAAAGGCAACAGGGATATCAAAGAAATGGATTCCAACTTGGGATTAGTTTGTTTTGAATGAGAAGTTACATTGTGCCTCAAATAGGTTATTGCTTATTTTTGTATTTTTTAAATGGAAATATGTAAATGGAAAATAATCCAGCGACTAGTACTGCATGGGCTTATATAGGAATAACACCCAACTACATGTACAGCTATATTGTGAAAACATGGACAAGCAATTAGCAAATGCAGCCTTGAAATGAAGATTCAGGAGAGCTTTAGCGTTTTCTCCCGAGCTAGTGCAGGAACTGGTGCGTGGTGAAAATGAACATTTCTAGACTGACAACAGGTAGATTGGGAGAGTGGGACTTGTATAGTGATGTGCTGATTATATGATGAATGTAAACTTGTCTACAGGGAGGAACTGGGATGCTACTGTGTGTTACTGGCCCTGGGCCCAGAGGTAGACTGTGGGTGACACATTGTTTATGACCTCCTCCTGCTCTGACCTTAAGGAGAGCTGCTTGTAGGCTCTGTCCTGAGCCTGGCTGGCTCTGACTGGGATGTTGGTTTGTGGAGTGAAAAAGGAAACTGGTTCCGTGCTGTCACTGCAGATGTATTGAGGTATCAGTGCAGTGGCAGAGGAACACATGGTATGAGCAAAAATTGTGCATCTAAATTGGAAAAGCCTCAGAGTTGAAAAGATGAAAAATTGGCTAGCTTGGCTGCTGCGTTAATGAACAGGGCTAATGAGTCTGAGCTGACAGTAAATCAGTCTTGCATAATATGTAAAAGGATGTGCTGATAACAGGAAGCAATGAATTAATTTATTTCCCCCCCCTTTTTTTTTTTTTTTTTTTTTTTTTTTTTTTTTTTAACTAGCAGCATGGAGAACTTGGTGACTGGCTCCGGCCTTCCTCCGCTCTTTGTGGATGAAGATGGATCTAAGGAAGGTAGTGAAATTACTGTAACTGGGTAAGCAAATACGTGTTTTTTTTTTTTTTTTTTTAAAGCATAATATGGGCAGAGAAGGAGGTAAGGCTCACACTTGTGAGGCTCACGTCCAGATAAGGCTCACACTTTGCTATAGTGGTCGCTGCTGAGTAGATCATTCTATTAATGATTATGATTAATGATGTTCATCGGTGATCTCCAAAAACTTCTGAGGAACTAAAGCATTTCATTTTTTTAGGTGACTCTCTTTTTGGAGTGTAAAAAAGTGGCCTCTTAAAGCCACCAAGGCTAACAAACCTAGTCTTTTAGAGGGCTTCTTGCTGTGTGTTGGTACTTGGCATTTTTCTTTCATCCAGGCTATAAAATTCAAACTTTATGGACAGGTAGAACCCTATAGAAATAAATGTGGAGATGCTTACTTCAAACTGGTCTAAATTTGGCTCTGCATATCTGTGATTCCAGACTTTTCTGGTGCCAAATGAAGCAATGTTCACATTTGAATTAGTTTTAAGAGGGATTGATGTGTTGGATGAGCTTTCATCCATTTTTTACTGCAAATGGCTGCATTGCATTGAAGTTTTTTTCATATATATATATATAATATATATATATGTGTGTATATATGGAGTTTAGAAAGCTTTCCTGTTAAAAGGGTAACTCTATTACCCAGCAGATAGGAAAGCTGAAAACCCTCTTCAGATCTTAATAATGATTCTGAGAAAATCTAACTACATTGTTGCGTATTCTTTCTGATACATCAAATTTAATTAACTTTTAATGGTAGGCTGCCTGCTGTATTCCCTTCTCCTTTCTGTGATTGCGGGTGGTGTGAATTCAATCTGATATCTGCAAGTCAGGCCCAGAACTCTCCAGCCTTTGTTTCTTAACCAGTAATTATGCCCCAATTGGTGATTGTACTGAGTAATGACGATACTGTTTTCCCTATTTAAAGACAAAGTCTTCTGTAGGCATTCAGCTAACAATTCTGTTGTAATACCTTGCTTTTCCATAGCTATAGACTGCATCGTTAACAGGAACAATTATTTTGAATATTTAAGATGCTTGTCTTGTGTGTAAGCGTCTCTATGAGTAATCAGACACAATAGATTTGAAGCATATGTTGTGGTAATTTTCATGAATGTAACTGCTTAAAGCCAGGCAACCTTCGACTGGTTTAAGGGATTAGAATCTGTAATGAGAGTCCTAAACTCTGTTAGGAATTTGTCCATGGAGCACAGTGGCTAGAATGACTAGGAGATCGTTGTCCCAAAATATGTGCTCCTCTATTTGCACCTCCAGATATGTGCCTGTATATATGTGCATATTTGGCTTCCTGTCTCTGTATCACTGAGCCTTTTTATAGAGTGGTGGATTGATACAGACCTCGCAGCAGATTTAAATAGTGACCATTCAGGAGCCTGCAGGGACCTGGTCATGTTTGTGCTTTAAATACTCATGTAGATCAACAGGAGTTCATATCAAATGAAGTTCCATTCAAAATCATACAAAACCACAGTCCTTCAGGAGTATTTCTGGAGGAATTTATTAAATGTATCCAAAAGATATATATTAGTCGAAGATAGTACCTTTCACATAAAATTATTTCTGGTATAGATTCCTGCTTTTAATTACTGATTCAGTTGTTGTGTAATCAAAGGCCTGAAAAATTAGACAAAATATCATTTTAAAACTCAGATGGTGTTTGGATGGCAACTATGGTAAGTGCTTACAGCACTTGCGTAAATGGTGATCAATTCGTCAAAAATGACGTTTTTAAATGTCTTTTTCTTGCTTGTGTTAGAACTGAATATATTTGCAATATTTTTGCATCTTTTAGAAGACAAGAGGAAGTGATTTAGCAATATGATTTAATTTTTCTCACTATTATGTGCCTTTTCAGATTAGCTCATTCTGAGAGTTCATTCAGTGGTGGAACTTCACAGTCTGTGAATAACCCAGATTTGGTGGAGGATTTGTCACAAGCCCAGCAACTGCAAAATGAGTCCTCTAATACTGCTGAAAACACAGAGCCGAAGCCTGAGGAGGAGGTAAGGTGAAATAATATGGTTAAAACAGTGACTTCTCAATGGAGTTAAGGTGCAAAATTTTGTCATTATAGCTCCTTTTGCTTAGTTTTTTTTGATAGGATCACAAATATTCATCCATTTGCCATTCTCATCTTTTGATCCTCTAGTCTTCTCGTGTGTTGCACAACCATGTGCAGATAGCGAAGGAAAGCCAGAAGTTGGGCTGCACAGAGGAACGTGCATCTCCCTGGCTGAGTCAGCAGAGTCCCATGACTTAAACTGCCCTCTTTTTTTTTTTCTGGAAAATTGAATGTTCCATTGCCACATTTTGTTTCATGTCTTCTGAGGCAGCAAAGGGAGGCTGTTATGCCTTTGGGAGTGACCAATGTCTTTGGAAGCGTTACGCTTGCTTCTTTAGACTCGCCTGTGTACTGTCACACAATATATGGTGACTAAATGGTGAAGGAACTGAAGTTTGACATGAAAGTGGTTTGGATTCTTTGATAGATAAATTTGATCTTCCCCTCTTGCTGTTTGTCTTCAGATTTGATGTCCTTTTACTTTTTTGGTAGTTAAAATCCAGAAGGGCAACCAAAAATAACATGATGGAGGGAGCATGTTGATTATGGGTGAAGTTTAAAGTACAGAAATAGCTGTATATATGTTTATAGCAAGGAAAAGTGTTTTCCAGAGATTAGAGTAGTATTATAAAGCCAGCAAGATGAAGTAGTATTATGAAGCCAGTGTTAGTTATGTCACTCCCTTGGACTTGCGATGTGCCACAGGCAAGTCTCACAGTGTTGCCTCCTTAGGGCTTTCTTCATTGGAGGTGATGTTCAACTTCTTCAAAGTTCTTTGAATTTTTTTTGACATTTATTTTGAAATTCTGACGTATTTGGTGGTAGAAATAACAAGAAGGTAGTGGGGGAAGCAAGTGCATAGAACGACTGTCTTCTTGCACACATTTTGGGCTCGTAATGCTCAAATGGAAGAGATTTGGAAGGAATCTTTTAACTAACTAGGATAAATTAGTAGCAACTGCTGGCTAGTATATAAGGTTTTTCCAAACATGATGTTGAGACTCAAACACAAAAGAAAATGGGATTTGGAACAAAAATAATACTTGCAATTGCTGTACCGGGGATAATAATTTCATGAACTGTGTCACTCCTCATGGTCCATAGCATAAACTGATAGTAGACTCTGGTCAGACCTAATCTGTAACATGTTACTGCTTAGTTGTCCAGTACAAACTTAATAGCTTGAAGTGACTTTTCTTCCTGTGGTAATTTCTGAGGAGACTCTGAATCACCACTGGAGTAAGATAGGAAGCAAAAGGGGTAACAGATATGTTATTTCTACCCCCCCAAAAAGAAGGTGATTATTTTATGTCCTCAGTATATTTAGACTATTTCTTAATATCCTGGTTTTACACACAGAAGTTGCTACTGATGTTACTTTATTCTCCTAGTGGATCAGGACTGATACTACAAAAACTTTTAACATGGAAACTTATTTGTCTGGCTAGAGGACAGTCAGAGTTGCTCTAAAGTGAGGTCTGAAGTGTAGTGAGGAGCATCTTTGGACAGGATGTATTGTAGCCACGTGCACCTGATGAAAATGTGTGAGACATGAATATTTATTCCTTCCAGGGGTGGTAATCTTTTTCTTTCAATCTGAATTTTCTTCCATTTTCGTTTTGCAGCAGCAAAGAACTAAACGAGGAGGCTGGGCCAAAGGGAGAAAGAGGAAGAAACCCCTTAGGGACAGCAATGCCCCCAAATCCCCCCTCACAGGGTATGTGCGATTCATGAATGAGCGTAGGGAGCAGCTTCGAGCGAAGAGGCCTGAAGTTCCTTTCCCAGAGATCACCAGGATGCTGGGCAATGAATGGAGTAAACTGCCTCCCGAGGAGAAACGGGTACCATTAAACTCCCTTTTCCTTATTGGAATATCATTATTGTTAAATGGCAATATTGTGTAGTGAGGAAGTTAACATAGACTTTTGAAGTTGTATTTAGGAATATGTTTAAAAATATGGTGCACAGGTCCTCCAGAGTTCAAATAATGAGCCCTGGTAGGGCCATAGCAGCTCATCCACGTGTGACTTGGGAAAAATCTAAATAGTGCAAGGTTGTACTGGGGAACTTGGGGGAAGGCTGTAATGAAATATCCTGTGGCTTATGTGATTTATGGGGATGAAATTCTGTTCAACCTAACCCAGATACAGCTGGGAATTACCAAGGCCAGAGCTGTCGGAACAGTGGGGCAGGAGGTCATTGCTGCAGTTGAGGAGATTTCAGCAGGGTTTCAGAACTGCTGAAATGATTTTAAATTTCTGTTTATTTTACAAACTCATCAAGGAATATAAATATCTGGTTTCTTACAATAATACAAGTGCACCTGAAAGGACATGTTACTGAAAGAAGTTAAGTAGCTACTCTTTGTAGCCTTTGTTAGAAATCAAAAAATGCAGAGACTTAGCCTTTGCTGGTATGTTTTTCATGAGTCAGTTCATGGAATACCAGTTAGAGATATTAGAAAACAGTGTATGGACAATCGTTTTGTCCATAATGGAAAATGTGTCAACCGAGCCAATTGATTTGTTACCAGATTTGCTGCAGTGCAATTGCTGTTGCTCATTGCCGGGAGAAGGGGAAAGTGAGAGAATAAGAGATTCCTCCTGTTTAAGATACTGTTATAACCTCCGAGACAGTTTCTTAACCCGGGGCACTTAATTAATCTCGTTGCTATGTGCAGCCTTTTAAATGTTCTTTTTTTAAAAAGGCCATGGAGCCTGTACTAACCTATAAGTTTCACTAACCTGTAGAGAGTTGGGAAAGGACTACCAAGTACTTGGTTTCTTTCCAGTCTTCCCGTCTGACTTTATTCAGCTTTTGAAGGGGCATTGCTGACTCAAAACTGTTAAATCTAACAGGACAGACCCCACATTCTGGTTAAAGCTGACTAAGCTTGCTTTTGACTGTAAAGATGTTATTTTCCTAAAGCAAACAGTGGAGTTGAAGGCAGTACTCTTCTTCTGTGTGGGTTAATATTGCATAATCCATGGGACAAGCATAGGTAAAGCTCTCTCCTGGCCAGTCCCCAGCAATTAGCAAACTAGTTGTCTGATGTGAGAGCTGAGAAGAAACAGTCCTACATTTCCCTTGTTCCAGTCCAGTAGTCTTGCTTGATTCCCTTTGCATTTGTCCAGCATAAGGATGACTTGATTGAGCTGAGTGAGCTGGCCAAATACTGCTTCTGCCAAAAAAAAAAAAAAAAAAAAAGCCATTTCCCCATTTTCTACCCAGCCATTACCTTGCTGTAGCCATAAAGCAAACCACACATGATTAATCATTCTTCCTTTATTCTCTCGTATGGGGAAATATGGGAGGTAACAGATCTGTGCTAGAAAACCTAAGACATCTAGTTACAGTTAGCACAGCATAATTCATTAGTACTGATTCAGAGCAATCCGTTCAAAGCACAAGTTGAAGAAAAAAGTTGCAGGCTGCTTCACTCATTGTCTGTGCTCTTTCAGCAGCACGTTCTGTTTTTCCATAAGGCTTTAGTTCCTTCCTGCCATCTCCAGCAATGCCCAAAAGCAGCACAAACCTAACTTCCTGCAGTTTGCCCCGCTCTGGAATAGAAGCAGTGATTGTAACAGGGTCAAGACAATGTCCCAAATGCACTGAATATGTAACTGCGAAGTGGCTTGTGATGATTTCATGAAGATTAACAACCATGCCAAGCCACTAAAGTTTGCTCTGGTTTGAGGTTTCTACTGCATTTTAAACTTGTATGGGGAGGGGGACTCTTGGTGGTGGGAAAGGCAGCTTTTTCTTGGAAAAATCCCGTTAATCCCTGAGTTGACCACTTCTTAAGTGATATTCAGTTCATCAGTATCCTTAAAATATTCTCCAGTTAAGCTTGTTGTATTATGCAATTGCCTGAAATTCCTCCAGGCTAGAATACAATGGTTTCTTTTAACATAAATGCAGATATTAAAGCAATTAATAGAACCTTTTGGGCTTTGTTCTCTTTAAGCTCTTCTTTCAGAGTAGCCACAGTGTTTTGCTTACCCCTCAGATGAGGGGAAAGGGTGAGGTGGTAGAATTTTGCCCGTGGGGTTTGAAAGCAAGTGCATACAGGAATCCCATTGCTACAGATCTGAGTATTAAATGGTAACCTGTTAACAAGGGATTCTTGTAGGGCACCATTTAACACACAGCCACAGAAACATAATTCTTAAATATGTGCTCTATAGTATGTACATAGTATTAAGCGGAGCAGCCTGGCAAGTGACTGCTTCTAGGTCTAACAAGCAAACCAAAAGTTAGCAGGATGGTGATTTGGTAAAACAGAGACAAAAAGGCACTAGAATAGCAATGTTTTATCCAGGATTCTTAGTTCTGTGCATCTCTCATACATTCTCATTGTTTCTCCACTACTTTACTGTTTGCATAGGTGAGATGGATCAGCAGTTCTTCTGACAAGATATTTTTCTTCCCTCCTTCGTGGAAGGGAGGAAATTCCCTGAAACTCTTGGGCTTTTTCGTTTCAGCGATACCTTGATGAAGCAGACAGAGATAAGGAGCGTTACATGCGGGAGCTGGAGCAGTATCAGAAGACTGAAGCCTACAAAGTCTTTAGCAGGAAAGCACAGGACAGACAAAAAGGGAAATCACACAGACAAGGTATTGAACGGAACAAAAATTTGTCCATAGTTAGACCAAGATGACCAGCAAGTAGTATAGCTTCATGTTCATGAAAAGCCTTGGTTGTTACCGAGTAAATGTGTTTTCTTCAGTGTTTGCATCTACTATTTTAAAGTAACTGTGTTTACACGGACGTAACTGCCACTATGTTGTACTAGAGCAAGAACATTCAAAGCATCCGAAGTGGATTCTACTTTTACATGACTCTAGGAGAGCTATGCAAGTTTTCTATCTATAACTGTTCGTTGTGTGACTGTGGTTGTGTGGTAACTTTACTACTTGTTTTTTGTTTGTTTACCTTGTCTTTTGTTTGGAGGATTTCTTGCTTATTTTTTCTTTTCCAGATGGAGCAAGACAGCCGGTCCATGATCATGAGGTAAGCCTCTTCATTCTGCGGCTCGGTGGGTACATCTTCAGAAGAAAGTCTCTACTGGAATCAATAAAAAGTTTATGCCAGCTGATGAAATAATCAAGGGCTTAAATTACTGTGCATTCTTCCCCTTTTTATAAGGTTTTTAAGTTAGGAGCAATGAATATTCTTATGCTCACGTTAGGATGATGATGAAAATCAAAAAATTTTGGTGGGTATAAGTGATCTGAGATAAAGTGGAAGTGTAGAGTATACTTAAATAGAGACTGAAGGTAATGTCTTTTTTAATGTGGTTTGCATTTTGAAACATAAATATATGATTTGATTTTTTTTTTTTAAACAGTGAGTGTAATTGGGACTTTAAGAATCTGTTCTACTACAGGTTCCACTTTCAAAATTTTCAAAACAGAGAAGCCTGAATTCCCCCTCCTGTCCCCATTTTTTACCCAATAAACGTTATTGGGTAAAGATATATCTAGGTAGAACTAATAGAGCTTGAGACCTAGACAAAGTTTTCAAGGGTAGTTCAAGTCTTTAGTCTGTGGTTTTGAGGTACTGGTGTTTTCCATCAGAGTAAATGCTGTGGTTTCTTTGAGAAGAAAACATGGAGTGTTACCAAAATTCTTGTGAGATCTTCGGTTTAACCTCCCGCCTTCCCTGCACACCCTTGCATGCATAAATATTAGAAAAGAATAATGATGATTATGCTTCAGCTGGTGTGAGGCCTGTCATAAACCTAGTGTGCCCTGGCAGTCCATGCCATCTCCCTTCCTCAAGCACTGAAGCTTTTTGCCTCTCCTTGCCTGCCTTGAGGCCGCAAAACTTTTTGCATGGTTACCAATAAATTACATTTAAAAAAGGGAAAAGAAAAATCCTGTTTGTTTATACACAGCATCTTCAGTAGGTAAGCCCAAGGCCTTTCTGAAAGAGCTTTTCCTTTTCTTTGAGAACTTTTTTCCCCCTTGGG